AAACGCTGCTGTGTGACTCTGACTTCAAACGCTTTCGATAGCGGAAATATGTTATGATTCCTGACAGCAGACTAATTAAAATGTCCGTTATGTCTCGTTCTGGCAGCGAAGGACATTTCTTCTGTCTTCGTCGGAAGTTAGCTTCTAGTGAACAGTTCATTTTTCTGAAGATTAAGTCCGAACCTTTTGAATGAATGAATTTCTGGCATTAGAGCTAACGCTAAGAAGCGGTTGTTGCTTTGGCCTTGCCCTTGCCATCCGATCGCGAAATTCCTGCTGAACGGAAGAATTTGGTGGCGGAAGATTAACATGATTTAGTGGTCGGCACGGTCCGCCCTGCCCTCTGACGTCACCTGGCGTAAAGTGCGGCCCCATGCCACTGACTGCAAGCCATTCCAGTCAGGGGCAAAAATAGCGAGCACCTTGAACCTACCTTGTTACGAGTGGGTGAACTGGGAGACAAGCACGCTATCCAGCTGAGCTATCCAGCTGCACATTATCACGCTATCCAGCTGAGCTATCCAGCTGCACACTATCACGCTATCCAGCTGAGCTATCCAGCTGCACACTATCACGCTATCCAGCTGAGCTATCCAGCTGCACGCTATCACGCTATCCAGCTGAGCTATCCAGCTGCACGCTATCACGCTGTCCAGCTGAGCTATCCAGCTGCACGCTATCACGCTATCCAGCTGAGCTATCCAGCTGCACGCTATCACGCTATCCAGCTGAGCTATCCAGCTGCACGCTATCACGCTATCCAGCTGAGCTATCCAGCTGCACGCTATCACGCTATCCAGCTGAGCTATCCAGCTGCACGCTATCACGCTATCCAGCTGAGCTATCCAGCTGCACGCTATCACGCTATCCAGCTGAGCCTTCGATACACCGTCATAAGTTGAAGAGCAATATCCGGCTGGCTGACCCCGTTGAGAGAACCCATTACCACGCGAGGAAGATGAAGCCCTGACGACGATCCCTTGCAGCGCGGGTAATTGCGTGTCCGCAACATAGATACGCGGCGGATGGAAAACGGGTTCAGTTTGCGCTGCAAATACGGCTGAACGGATGCTTCGGCCTTTGTATCGAATGCCTGAAGTACCGTTCATTATAAACACTCAGGGTACCTTGCGCGGCGGTGACATTTGAGACAGTTGTCAGTTGCCACGTAAATGGTGCCAAAAACTCAGCTACTGGAAGAAGACAGCTTCGGCAGCCATATAAATGGGCTTAGAATTGCTATTTGTATACTTAAAAATGACCGAACTCCCATGTATCAGTGGATACCGGCCTGCCCTCGCTATGATTTTCCGTTTTTCATAACGCGGACTGATAGGGGGATGCAACCTCCCCTGAAGATTCCAGTGTAATGTTGATGGAGCGCATAAAACATCAATGGATTGGTCTAAACAAGATCTGGCGATAAGGGTATATCTTATGTTGTGGTTCAATAACTGATCTCAGTGGCAGGCCAGAGTTCGAGTTCTATTTTAGAAAAAGGGACTTTTCATCTGCAACATCATACATCAACATCAACCTGCGACATCATGCCTTTTGGTAATGCAAAACTTAAACAGCCGCGTTTGTTGTTTAACTCAGAGCATAATGGTATACATTTTGTTGCGTTCGTGAGTACATCTATGGTACATGACTCCGTTCATGTGACGGCGTCGTCCCTCCGCGCGCTCCGCGGTATCGTCGGTCGCCGCCCGCCCGCCCTCTCAGGCGGCAGATCGCCGTGCAGTGTTCGTCAAAAACCGATGCTGCTCCGGACAAAACTAGGAACACGCTTTTTGTGTCAAAAACGTGCAATGGATGCCCTGTAGGCTAGTTGAGAATTTGGGCACAATTGCACAGCATGCCGGAGAGGTATCCTCAAACAACCTCAGAGGGGTTGCATCACCCCCACCCTTTGCTATCAGGGCAGGGGTAAAACGATATCAAGAAGCGACTGAGATATGTCATGAAAACTATTGCCATTTCAGGCCAGTGTCAATGATCACGGGTGAGGAAAGTTAAGTGAATGTGGTCTTTGAAACCTTAAGGCGTCTGAAACACAGAAAGCAGCCTGACGACAATTGTGACGACTCTGTCGACAAAATGATATCACAGCAAAGAATCCCCAACTAACGCAACATAACAACCGGATGCATCAGCACCAACAGCTGATTGAAAGGCAGACGGCTGAGCCGAAAGGCTTCGATGCCCCTGCCACGCATCAGATTACAAAAACACCGTGGACTTCAGCGAATCCATTCAGGCTCCCATTTACTGAACCCAATACATTTGTGTAAATCGCAGAGGGATGCTCAAATTACAAAATGCTAAGCCGAGTGGTTCCCATGACGCATATCGAGTGTGAGGCCAAAGAGAAGCTCGCTATAGGACATCAGCGTGACAAAGCAAACGCCATTCGAATCATTTCTTAACGTTCCTCCCTAAAAAATACCGTTATAAGTTCGCCTGAAGACGGCGTTTGTAATTAATCCTCGGGCGAAAATAAATGATGCGTAGCGATTCAAATATCTCAATATCTCTATTTTTCATTTCTGATATCTACATTAAAGCTGACGTGTGCTTCTTACGTAAATCGCCATTAAACCTCTATTACCGCTCATTGAAGTCTTATAGAAGGTGCGATTCGACGAAGTCGTCACAAGGCGCTCGTAAAGACATTTGCGAGAGATGACGTGCTGGGTGAAGCTCACATAAGGATCCCAGCTATAGGATCTCTGAGCGCTTGGCAATGGGAAGACAGTTTCTCTTAGGGGCAAGAGTGCTACCTGAGCGACTGCTAAGGATGAAAATCCACCCTGGATTATAGGGTAATGAAGCCTTAACTGTTCGCTGTTGCCGCTTGACCAGAATGACCCTGGACCTTTCATGTGAAACAGCCTGGCGTTTCGGAAAGGAGGGAAGTAATAAGAGGCCCGTGGCTGAGACTTCTTAAACATCCCCAATTGGCAGAATCCCAGAGAACAGTGCTCCATGCCGACCTGATGTGCCATCGGAGGGAACTAGACGGCAAAATTGTGGGGCCGAAGTTTATTAGAGAAATGAAGAACAAATCTTGCTTGGTAAGAATGGGGAGTGACTGCGTGAACTGGAATGAAAGTCGGTAACTTATAAAGACAAATGGGAGCGACGGCAGCCCAGCAAAGAGGAGCGATGGACGAATCCGTCAGCAACTGCAACTGCAGCTCCAATCAGTCTATGTTTGATGTCTAAGGCATAGTGGCGGGAGTGACAGACTAGATGCTCTGTATGGCGCGTCACACCTGACTTCTCTCAGACGTTTGTGACCTAGGAGAACCCCTCTCCCTCTCACAAACTCCTTCAAATATTGCTACGTCCTCATTTCAAGTTCAGCTCTGCTCCTGAGCAGTGAGGTTGCCATGCGTCTCACTACGACTTGGCTAACCGCACAACTGCATTTACTTCTGGAAAAGTCACAGGGTGCAACACGCTACTGAGGAAACCATTTGGTGCTAAACTGTCAGTTTGAGTGAGCAGTTGTGCACTGTTGTCATGAAATGTCACAGGGGACATGAAAAGTGCGAAATTCAAACCATCGGTGAAAATAATCAAAATCGTCTCGCAAGGTTATGAGACCCACGAAAAAAATGAATTTTCTCCTGGGCCTATTGTGGTAGTGAGTGAACTTAAAACTAGAACCAGCAGTCCGCGCTATACCATGCGAGCTACTTGATCATATGGCGCCATTCACTCGTTTGCGCAGCTCGTCATGCATAAACGTGAGTGTCACATAAAACATTGTTTGTTTCATCCCCTTTAAGACTTTTTGAAAACCTGATCAGGAGTGACGTCGAGAACGAGAGCGAGGGGCGCAAGAGGCAGACCACATTCGCTGTGTTGGCTGCCCGTTCTCTCGGACGGGAAGGGGCACTTATGTTAGGCTACGCACTCACGACTGGACTTCAGAAGCAACCCACGCCGCCCCCCCCCCCCCCATTTGTGGCACCAGGACTGCAAAGAAGTCTAGGTGACGTCAGCCCCTTCGCTGATCCTCCTCTCGGCTTTGGCAGCGTTTCTGCCGCCTGGCACAGACAGCAGCTAGTCTCGGAACGGTTTATTGTGCAACATCATGTTTGTACACAAGCCGAAGTGACCGCGCGGGCTTTTGGTGCGGATCGGCCGTGCCCCCGATCCTGCCGGGTCGGCGTGGCGGGCCGGGAACGGTGCCCGCCGACTCCGGAGACTCGTCAGCGACTCGACGCCGAGTCAGAGACGCGCAGGCCGTGGCTGCCGTCGATTTTCACAGCGCGTGACTACGATCGGTTAGGACGACTCGATTTCGCGGAGGGCAGCAAGCGGTTCAAACGGAGACTTCTGCGACCGACGTCACTGGTTCGCCAACATATTAGTGATCTAGATGCGCCGCGGACAGAACGTTCCTTCGATCTATTCACTTCCCGTCGCCTAGGTTCGGACGATGGACGTCCGCAATAGATGGCACCACAGAAAGACAGTGCTGTCCCACCACTGAAGCACGGGGCGGAGGGGCTGACGAGCGATGAGCGAATGGAATCATGAGGTGGCAGGAGACCGGACCGGAGTCGCTGGTGTTCGCTTCTCTCGGCGGCGCCCGCTGTCTTCTTACTTGCTGTTATGGAGAAAAGCGAGGTCAGATGCAGCGAGATGGCAGACGCCCGCTGTGCGCGGAAGGTTGCTATCGCTACAGACCAAATGCGACACGGATAAAATCAGGCTGCCGAATCAAATTGAATGAGGACTTCAACAGACGTAACAGAGGCCACGTAAAAAAACGCGCGTGACAGACCGACAGCGTGAAAGTGATTACGGGGCATCAAAAAGCGAGAGAAGAAACGAAAGCGATTGCAGCGACATCTTTTACAAGGACAGACAAACGCGAGCGTCACCTAGACAAGTTCTGAGCCGGAGAGAGGGAGCGTCGTGTGCGATCCTTCCTCGTGGACCCGGCTGCGGTCCCACCGTCGTCGCGTGCCAGCAGCACTTACGAGAACTGGCTTCCAGTGTCCATGCTGAGCGCACCGGCGCCACCGCCGAAGCCGTAGCCCTTGGGGCCGTACTTGCGGCCGTGGCACTGCCTGCAGAACAAGACTTTCTCGTGCTCGCTGCAGTTGGTGGAGTCCAGCGCCTTGTTGCACATGGCTGAAATCAGAGCAAGGTGGTTCAGCTTTCGGGTGATTGCATGCCATGGGAGCTGGAGAGCTGTCCTTGCACATACCGAGAGTGCAAAATAACGGCTACAGCATCCCTTGTGAGGTACATATCACGTGAACGAAACGGCAACGATCAGGAGGGATATGTGGAAAATCAGTTAGCTAAATAGTCAAGTCCCGTATCTGTGACAGCACCATAAAGCATGGACACAAACCCTTTTTAAAACTTGCTTCCGCTTAGTCCGAATCCATCTTTTTAGACTCATAATACAAATAGCGAGCATCCTCTTCCTCCTCCTTCATTATTGCCATCGCATGCTGCCGATGCTCCAGCAGCTGGTAAAGTAACCTTTAAAAATGTAAATTTCTGCCAGCATTTGCCACCCAAAGCGGTTCTTTGAGATGAACTTTGGGGAAGTGGGGCCAGCGTCTAGATCCTTGGCGGACAACTACTCACAGCACTTGAAGCAGGTCTTGTGGTACTTGTAGCCTCCGGCAACGCGCTCCTCAGCGGCGTAGACCGACTTTTCGCAAGTCGGGCACTTCGGCACTTCTGGGGGCTTGAACGGCATCTTTGCGACTTGTCGGGACTGTCTGAAATGAAACACACCGTCGTCACAAGTCCTGCCAGACGAAACAAGCGCGTGGATTTGCGTAAAATTTGATGTTTGTTTGGTTCATTTGTGTTGTTTGATTCGGTCGGGAAGATCCGAAGTTTGACTTGAACACCAGGAGCTGCGTATGGAATATTTTTAAGAAGGCAGAACAAATATTGGATTTTTTGGATATTCTTGTGGAGATGGTAATTACTGTCCCTATTTCTACCAAGGTAACGCTGCGGCAAGAATATGATTGAAAGGCTAAGCAGCCTGCGGCAACGTGCAACGCCATGACCTCCTCGGCTTTCGCCTGTCGATCGATACCAGTATTACCTGGTGCCCCAAGCTCCAGTTGCGCTACTCCGTAACGTATTGCAAACTGATACTAGTGCTGTCTGTTGAATACGGCCAACAACATCTGAACCTCAGCGTAGCGCGTCACAACAGAATTGCTGCCGACCGCGACGATCCGTAACAATACCTGTCAGTGATTGTGATGGCAAGGCTCCAAAACAAAAGGAGAATAAATATTTAGGCCGCGCTCTCACTTAGAAAAATCTCAGGGGCACCAAGCGCAGCGCCGCAGGATAAGCGACCACCGAAAATGCGCTGGTGAGATCGGCTCGCGAGTCACAGCCAAGCGCATCCGGTGGCTTCGTTGAAACGGAACAGTGACCCCTGTAGGGGCTCCTGCCCTCTTCGCTAGGCCCTTTCCTGCAGGGCTCGGCCTATGACCATACTGGGGGCGGTGCACCAGATCTCATCCCAGCGAAAGCAGGGACCATGGCCTAAGCTGTGCGCACTCCCCCACTACCACAGAAACCAGGCCAGCTATCCCGGCGACGGACAAACGTAGCAAAGCTTCGACTCGCCGCCACCACGCGGCGCCGGAACGCGCCCAAATTTGGACAGGCGTCTATTTCAGCTGCGAAGCTGTCCCAGTTTGTTCGTGGACGCGTGAGTCAGCGACGCTGCCGGCCATCTCCGCGAAAGGAGGATAGTCTGGAAGGATCCATTGCGCGAATAGGTAGCGGCAGTCGATCGGGGACCGGAAAGATGTCTGGCGAGGCTTGGTCTCGTTTGCATGGGCTTCGTCCAATGCCAGCCCTCTGATGTCCGCACCACTCTCTACTACTGCGATGGTAAGACAATCAGAAGTCACTCTACCACGGCGAACGCCAGAGATTCTCCCGCTCTCATCCATCAGGAGCGCTGGCAGCGTGAGAGCCCCGCTCGTTGCCGCGCTGCTGCGGCGCGCGCCCCGACGGCTCCTCCCGCTAGCGCGGGGCGTCGGCGGACGGCGGCGCCTCTGCCGAGCCGTGACCGCCGCGAGCGCGGCAGCTGCTGTCAGATCTGGGACGCTGAGTCCCGCCGCCGCTCGAGGCGGTTACTAAGATGCGGCGTGGAGCACGCGGTCTCGCCAGGTATGCCGGTATGCGCGGCACGACATACCGACACGCCGCCGCCCGTTGTTGCAGCGGTGGCATTGATTTTGGTGCGCAAAACAGCGACGTGAGCAAAAGGTGACTGTTTACTGCTGCCAGTCAGGTGCTGAATGACTGCACTGCTGTTGGTGTAGTGCTGGCCGGGATGATCAGAGTGAAGCCGCATCGTAGGCACGTGTGGATAAACACACTATGCGGATAAATGAGGAAATGTCACTCGACCGAGGTTGTCCTCCGGCATGTAGATCTGCCAACACGTACCGACTGGGAAAGGGTGTCAGTTTCGGATCGGTACATGTGTTTTCGGGGGTCGTGAAATGATGACGAGTAACAAGTGTCTAGGGACAATGGTTTCAAAAACCCAACCATTTGAATGTGCATGCCGATAAGTCGTAAGCCTGATCATAACAAATGAAGTGGGTAAACTAATTATTAGGTCTAACATGCCGGTCGGCAATGGCAGACCTCAAATACGGCCATTTAAAGTGACAGCTTATAATTGTTAATCACGAACCAATCATTTAAATGAACAAATACACCAAAGGAGCTTTCTGTTGCTTGTACGCTAATAAATATTTAGCTCAGGAATTAGGCTTAGGAATTTGGGCTACGTCTGGCATAGCTACTTCCTTAAGGTTAAGCTAATTTGTCTTTTCCTAAACATGATTGATCCGACAACAGCTTGCATAAAAACAACACCAAGCCGAAGCTGAGCTTCCGTCACCTGTGACGTGTGAATTACGTCACAATGCGGGCAATGTGAGCATTCATTTCGCCGTGTATGCAACTAAGCTCTTTAAACGGTAGGGTTCCGAAACTACGATTAGATAATCAATCAGCTCAAACTCATTTACAATCATTCAATATTTCTAAGGCATACACAAAGCCAGCATTACAAGGAACTGACTCCACCCTAACGCCGATCATAAACGGAAGGCTATGTTCCAAAATGCAGGCACCCTGAACCCTCAACTCGGTAAAAGCTTATCCCCTTTCCCACTCCACGTGGAATCCCATGACCATGCCCCCTCAAGCAAGAAGGGCCTGCTTTCCAAAGCCGCCGCCCCCTGCGTTTACGCCACCGCAGACGCCGGCACATCCACGAATCCGCAACACATCGCGGCAGCAGAGCGGGCTTCTCTGAAGCGGCGCGGGTGATCACATTCGCCAAAGCTGACACCACATGCCGCGCTCGGCGGCCCCTGTCACCTGCGCTGCCGGAGGTCGGGGCTCTGCTGCTGACCCGGGGCGCTCTGGGCACAGACTGCGCTACGACGTTCCAGCCGCGCCCCCTGTTCGACTTCCAATTCAGAAATATCGCCTGAAGTCACCGGCTGAGAATAGCTGGCAGTGCCGGCGGTGCTGGATACGCCGGTGGCTGGCGACGCGGCAGATCCCTGGGGGGGAGGGACCTGGTCTCCACGCCCACGCAGGGTCGGGGCGGGGCTCTGAGAGCGCCAGACACGCCCACCGACTGCTGTGCCAGCGCGGCGTGACCTCTGGAGACACACAAAGTCACGTGGTTAGGCGTGATCATGCCGCGGCCGTTCCCCGCACGAGGTCACGGTTGGGGAGACGGCGCCGTGGCCGTCCCCGCGCGACGTGACGGTTGGGGAGACAGCGTCGACGCTGTAACCGCACGACGTGACAGTTGGGGAGACGGCGCCGTGGCCGTCCCCGCACGAGGTGACGGTTGGAGATACGGCGTCGACGCTGTAACCGCACGACGTGGCAGTTGGGGAGACGGCACCGTGGCCGTCCCCACACGAGGTGACGGATGAGGAGACAGCGCCGTGGCCGTCCACGCATGTGGCGACGGTGGGGGTGGGGAGAGTCGGCGCCGAACAAGAGCGCCTCAGAATGTGATGTTCTCTGCGGAAATGTCACCGTCGTAGTACAACAGCTGACCAGCTGTGCACAACAGCTGAGCAATGTCTGACGCAGGGTGCCTTGCAAATGACCATGATGACGTGCTCATAACGCTTACTTGACCTGCACACAAATTAAAGCAAAAATTATCCTCATCATTTAACACGCGCCCTGGTGGCCACCTAAATACCCTTCGCTCGGGTGGAGGGGGGTTAATTTGATCCCCAGAGATCCCGGGAACTAAGAGAGCTAGAACCACCAAATTTACACAGTGTGTTGACCTGTACGTGAAATCAATTAGGTCAAAGTTTCAGGTTCCTAGGTTATGACCTTCGGGTCTAGAAAGGTTAAACAAGGCCAAGTTCCAGGTTGGTTTCCAAGGTGCCCAAGAAACCTAGATAACCGTTTCTTAGCAAAAGGTCGCATTCTCATTCAAGGTCAGTGACCTTGCTTGAACTTTTGAAGGTCAAGATGGCCAAAATCAGACAAGCATGCTTTGAGTCTTGCATTTGACTTAGGGACAAATATTACGCTGGGCAGTATGCTCCTAAAACAAAACGTTGACCTTGGTCATTTTAGGTCAGTGACCTATTCTGACCTCTAAGAAGTCCATGGAGGATGTATAATGCGCTTCTTGCTATCAATGAACTCGAAATGAGCACCAGAAACTATTCCATACAGCAAGCCCCAGAGTAACAAAACAGGTTGGTTTTGACCTTGGTGTGACCTTCATACCTGACCTTAGGTCAACTTAACTTACTCGTTTAACTGCTGTGTTGCCTAAGAAATCATCTCAGAGATGTATGGCTTCGTCTAACACTCCGTCGTTGGATCAGATTTTAGGATTCCCTAGAAATTGCCTTCGCTGAAACCATGGCCTGACTGACCTGCCATAGATCAGCGACCTTACAAGGTGCATCTAAATTTATGATGTCGAAGGATCTGCTATTCAATTGTCTACAGCTATGCAAAATTTGTCGCGGTTATGCCGCGCCGTTCGGAAACCATTCTGGAAAACCTTCGGGGGATCAATTTGACCCCCACCCGAGCGCGTGTTAAGGCCTGATGGCTGTCCAAGGAGACCTGTTGCGTTTCATTCATCAAGCAGTGCAATGGCCTGAGCTGGAGCTACCTCCAGGAACGCGCGTCCCCACCGATTTGGACGCTAGCATCTTAAACGTATCGTTTATCGGTGTTTTGGAATGTTTTGATGCATTTCCGTGTGGAATGAAATGAGTTGTGTCCCATAAAAACAAATAATTCCAACTTTAAGAGAAATAATGTCGGCTGAACTCTTTTCTGTTCTGGTTGAAAAATGGCATATCTATGCAAGCAAATATGCAGGCAGGCCGCTTATCAGTTTGTTGCAATCACGTGGCAAATGTAGAATACGTGTATTGATTCAGACATCCACCTCATGTTCATAGTTCGAAATATTATTGCATGTAGAGCCAACTGCACAGGATTGGGTTGGGTAAATCAACGAGACATTTGGTCCGTTTCCGTTCCGTAAATCCAAGCCGAGCCTTTTAATTAGATGGCTTTCCGTGTTTCCGGATGGATGCTGAGGTCAACTTCAAAAATCCATTGGCATTCTGGTGCTCTGTTCAGCCGATTAAAACCACCCGCTGCCCCACCGTGTTACTTTCGTGCCGCCATGGCTCTGGCATACCATCGACATATCGCCGTCCGAGTTTGGACATATCGCCGCCCGAGTTTGGACACATCGCCGCCCGAGTTTGGACACATCGCCGCCCGAGTGTGGACATATCGCCGCCCGAGTTTGGACACATCGCCGCCCGAGTTTGTACAGATCGCCGCCCGAGTTTGTACAGATCGCCGCCCGAGTTTGGGCATATCGCCGCCCGAGTTTGGGACATATCGCCGCCCGAGTTTGGACATATCGCCGCCCGAATTTGGACATATCGCCGCCCGAGTTTGGACATATCGCCGCCCGAGTTTGGACATATCGCCGCCCGAGTTTGGACATATCGCTGCCCGAGTTTGGACTTTTTCAACTTCATAAAATGCCTGTTGTAGTTTTGTCTCGAACGCTTCCATGTGGGGAGGTTATAATTGTTTCTAAGCTGCCCGATTGTTTGGCTCCGAGGTTCTGTCAAATCAGACACAGCCAAGGCGTTGGAATAGGGAACATAATGTTCTCATGACACCAAGGTGTAGCAAGCCATGAAAATGTTTCTTACATATCCATGTAAAAATTAGGATGGTATTGTGCAATATAACCGTGGTCAACGACATGTGCCAGCCAGCTACCGAAATATGCGTGGTATTTCTGTTTGTGAATGAAATGCCACATGACAGCTTCAGCTACCTTTTTGTCATGTTATCCTTGGAGAGCTGTGGGCTCAATGTGAGGATAGGGGGATGCTGCTTGATATTGGCTGTTTACTGCGGTGTAATTGTGTGCATGTACAAAACTACTCCACATTTGTATAGGGTTTTGGTCTGATATAGCCATTGTCAAGACCATCCCACGCAGTTCACAGCCGTCTTTTTCAAATTCCGTCTCCTGGATGGCTATATTTTGTTTAAGGTCAAGAAAAATGACCGTTGACTTGTTCGGGTCTGGAGGACGTGAGCACGCAACGTCACATCAACGAACAGCACTTGACTTTCAATCAGATTACGTGGTACAGTTAAGTCTTGATCGCGCATTGCGTTTTTTAATGCATGATGCAGGCGTCTGGGTTTCTAGTTTCTAGTCTAGGTTCTAGTTTTTAGTATCGTTTTACTAATTTTCACGGACATACGGCTGGGAATCGAATGACTTTAGAAAAGCGCCGTACCCGCGAATGCAAATGCGAGTGAAAACGTACCATCTTAGAAAAATGTACAAGAACACCAGAAGAAAGTTCCGCGTGCAAACGACGATAGAAGGTTTTTCACACGCAGAGAGCAGCAAGCCACCTTGCGGCAAGTTCGGGTACTTTAAGTGATTCATCCCGTCGGCCACAGTGGCAATTCTGACGCGGCTAATCTGGCAGTCACTCTGACGTCATAAGAATTTTCCATGATGTAATCAAACGATAACGTGTTGAGAATATCAACTAAACATTGAAATTGTTTTACCCACGGCAGTCTTTTACTCTTCAAAACACACAAATAGTTACAAGACTGGTTTGTCCATTATGTGTGGTGTTTTTTTCGCTGTCTTTAGATGTTTGACATTCCCATGAAGTCTTTGGACATCTGAAGCAGTTCAATATGTGCAGAGATGTTTATTTTTGAAAACGATTTTGATGCACAGTCTAGGTCCAAAAACTTTCCCTCTCCAGATGTGTGTTTCCCATTGCTCACTTGTTTTTGACATACGACAATTCCAGCTTAAATTTTACCTCGATCCTGCAAAATCACCTCGCAAATATTGGAGTCCGGAACGAACATTGAGAGAGCCAAAACACACATGAGGGAAGTGAAGTCACATAAAAATGGAAATAGACACCGCTGAATGGAGACGTAACTTTGCATCATGAGGCTAAGGCTTTAGATGCGTCTATTCAACTGTCTCTCGAGGCCTTAATGTACCATTACACAAGAATCTAGAAATTGGCAAACGAGAGAGTAAATGGGTAGGATTTGCCAGGATTAGCATATGGGTATGGATATGAACGTGCATGTACATAGAGGATGTGAGTATAACCATCTTACCCATGGGGACTTTTAATAAGAAGGTTGAGCGTGCATCCCCTTGCAGTTTCAGATGGATGATGAGCTGTTTATGAGCAGAAAAATGACGACATTGAATGCCCAAGCTAGCATAATTGTTAGAGATCAAAGTAAGTACCAAATCTGAAATGCGTGAGAACTAGGCTAAAAAGGGACGAAACCCATGGAATGCTATGGTGTCTCCCACCATTGGTGGCACAGTTTACGCCGGAAGCGTTTTTGTTTTGCATGATGTCCTGATTCGTCCTTTTACGTTTGTTGCACATTATGATCCAGTACCATGCGACAATATTAGAAAACTAGAAAATGAATAGGCACATGACAGCGAAACAAAAACGCTTGCGTGACAAAATTTGCCATCTATTTTGACAGGCTCGGCGACGAACGATGGGGTTTTTATCCTGTCTATCCCCGTTTTCGTGCATTCAAATTCGTTACCGACTTAGGTCACTAACTAATAATGCTAGGATAGCAAGGGCTAGTATGCATCAGCATCGTGCACCGTGCTGAAGCGGGTTTGGCGTGTTTAGCTCCTTCAAATGTCAAATGTCAGTTTGTGCTGCACGTCCGAGACTGATTGACCCCCCCGGCCGTTTGGCGTCTGCAACATGGTGTCGTACATGAATCAAATGCAACATTGGCTTCGAAGTGCTTCGTCTTGTTGCGAGCATTTTTGAGTGCTCATTTTGCTGAACGAAGAGAACGGGACGGGACCCGACGATTGGGTCGGAGTCTATACCGAGCCTTTTTGCCGTGCGAGCTCTTACCTCTTACTCTGTACGCGTCAGTCATTTCAAATTACGTGTTTTAACCCTCGCTCTTATTCGCCATTATCCATGACGCGAAGAATGGAGGGAGGTTCATGCGCACCACACCCCTGCCCCTCCCTCCACCTAACAGTTCAAAAACTTGGAATGATAAGAGTTTTGCGGAAAATACAGCG